TGTTGCTAAATAATTCTATAAACCTGTCAATCAGCTAGACTTTCTAACAGACGACTGTGACGTCAGCGCTGTGGAGGGAGGTGGTTGGCAAATAAAGCTGCTTTCAGCTCTGGGTGCAGGAGTTTAGCTCCCCTGGGAGGAAATACATAACCAATCCAACAACGAATAAAACAGCTTTACTTGTCATTAAAGATTAAATATTTATCTTGAACATTTAAAAAATATATATTAATTTATTTCAGAATATTTTAATTTAATTATTTAATTTTTTGTTTTGTTTTATTTGGTGTTATAGTTTTGTCAAGTTCATTTGGTGAGCGGGGCGGCACCCTAGCGCCCTCTATTGGCCAGCAGCCACTGATTTCCACCTCAGAATCATTAATATAAACTCTAAACAGAACTTTAGCAGCACATTCAACATGAAGTCAGTTGGAGGTTCAGAAAAGTCAAAGGAACGAGCTTCTTTTGAGACAAAAACAAAACAGAAATCATAAAAACACAAAGACTGAGTTCAGTGAACAGAAGAGAGGCTCCTTCCTCCAAAGTTAACCCTGAACATCACTGCTGGTCACAGGGAGGTGATAAACATGGCTCCCTTTATGAACAGTGGAGGAAGGCGCCGCTGCTTAGAGACCAAACTATCAATATCCACAACTCGGATTTTTAAAAAGGTTACTTCTATAAATAAAAGCTTTTATAACGTTTCCAATTTAAAAAAATGAATTATGGTTTGATTAATAAATTTGTAAAAGACTAAGATGAAAAGTTAACCTTATCTTAGTCTTTTTAATAAACTCTCAAAGAAAATAAAAAATTTTTATTTTAACAACAGTAGTTTTTTTTAACCCAAAATAAAACAAAAAAATCTGAACCAGGATGATGTGGGCGGAGCTACAGCAGGAGTATCACTCAGCAGGAAGTAGGCCCTTATCTGCTCCTCTGAACGCCGTAGTGTTGCTCCCACAATCCACATACTGATACATCTCCTTAGATACTTGCTCTGAGTGGCCGAAGTAGGTCGCCGTGACGGTCACCCTGCAGGAGGCGAAGGGATGCAGAAAGGTCAGGAAGGCAACACGCCGACACCGAGACGCTCAGCGGCCACTTTATGAGGCAGACATAAAACGGTGCTGAAACTGCTTTACTTTAAAATGAAAAAAATCATTCACTAGCTCCGTTAGACACATTAGGTTTTTAATAGAAACATTGCATGTCCGTCTGACGAGGATCTTATTAAAGAATGATCGGCATTAATTCACATAGAATTAAATATTTATTGGGAGAGGATTCTACAATTTAGCTGACAGGATACAAGATTTATTTGCTTTTGGTTTGTTTAATATGAGCGACATGCATTTTACACCACATGAAGAACTACTGAATTTTTTTTTTTTCAGATTACACATACATAGATTAATTAATTCAGCAAAGAAAACAAATGACTTCAGGGTTAGGATTCACTCGATGACAACAAAATACTGAGCCTACTGGCAAAATCTGAAGCCATTCTATGGGACTGATGACCATTTATTGGGATGATAACATCCCAAGCAGCTGCAAACAGCCACTCAGTATTTACTGCGTAAAAGAAGACAGAATCAAACAGAGGAGGAACCCCATGAGATGATGCACAGGTCCCACAATGCAAAAAAGGAAAATCTATACAAGTGTAATAAACATGAATTCAGCATTTTGGTCTTATCACACTAGTTTTTAAATGTATTTTCTTAGTAAGACTGAATATTGTTAAGATTATTTGACTTGTTTTAAGAAAATTCATTTTTATCATCCTAACTAGATAATACAACTAATTCTGAGCAGCTTTTTTCTTAAAATAGCACACATTGCAGACTGAGTCGCATTAACATTTAGACTGTGAGTACATTTTTACTTGTTTCAAGACAATAAGACAATCCGTATTAACCTGTTTTAAGAACTGACCCCATCTCATTAAGATATTCCAGCTAATCAACTGTGATTGCATTCAAATTGATAGTGTTATTCAGATTTAGCTTTGAGATTCTGAACCTTAGCAGTGGACCATTCACTGTTTACAATACATCATAAATACTGTACATCATACATATGCTTATTATAATAGAAGCTCTGCCTTAAAGGGGAACACCATTTTTTTTACATTTGGCCCTTGATTTTATGTTATTACATCATGTTTT